TAGCTGGAATTCTGGGGACTGGTTGTAAGAACCACTTGTTCAGCAGTGTTGCAAGTTTGAACAGTTGTTGAATGAGTGATCATTAAATGAGGACCACCTCTATTTGCATCTCCCGGTATGAAGTGGAGATTTTCAAAAGGTGGACATTTTCTCTTTGGCATTCTTTTCATTGTACCTGCTAGATTGAGTTGATCAACCGTAGTGGTATAAGCTTCAACCTCTACAAATATACTGATCTGGTTTTGTTTTTCTTATGCAACCCCCCCCCCCTTTTTTTTTTGCCAAGCACATTTTTTTCTCTCATGCAAGCTATTTTGCCAATGCAATGAGAATTTGTTTTATTGTGTGTGAATGGGTACATGTGCAGGGAGAAGCAAACTCGATACTGGAATACAACTTCCTGTAATTCAGCCAGTCTATTGTTATGTTTATATAAATTATGCTATTATATGGGGATTCCAATGGAATATCAGCTAAAAGTTAGAGCTTCATTTTCTTTTTCCCTTGGAGCTGTAATTCTGCCTTTTGGTTCTGCACGCATAAAAATAATTATGCTAGGAAAAAAAATGTGCCCAAGGGAGCTCATTGTTTCTTGAGTAAGCTGAACCTGCAGAGTCAGCTCTGGAAAAAAAAGGGACCATAGCTTTTTCATGCGTTTTGCTGAAGATTAGCGATTTGGTATATATGTTTCATCAGATCAGGGATTTAGATTTCGTTAAATGTTATTTGTAGGTTACTTTCAAATTAGTTCTGCTTATTTTATTGAATGTGTAATTCTTCTTCCCCCCCCCCCAGTGGATTGCAAAATGAATTTGTACTGTAAAAATGCAAAATATGCATGCCATATATAGAAGAATATTCAATATTGAAATCATACATATGGTAAAAAAAATCCTTAATAGAATAGCAGTTGCCTCCATCTGCACAGTTTGTCTCTGTGTAATTTCTTTCTTCAAAATGTGTTGAGAATGCTTTTTGCAATGTTTTTACCATAGGCATTCAATTTGACAAAAAATAAATTGCTTTCAAGGATTTCTTTGCTCTGACCCCCCCCCCAGGAGAAAACTGACCCTTGATAAAGTTCTCTGTGTAGAGTGCCAAAAGATTGCACAGGCGGATCTCAAACTGCTTCACTGGGTTATTGTGGAAAAAAACTGGAAGGAAAGGATATTATGCATGGCCTCCCTGTGTTTCTTTTATAAAAAGAAAAGCAAAATGGAGAAGCCATGTGTGAAATAAGTAAGTACACCCTAACTGCATCCATAGGTATGAGGAGGCTAAGTAGCAGCCAGGGACCTCAAGAGAGTTGTGCATAAACAAATACTCAATGAACTAAAGCAATGTTGTAAAGAAGATTCCTCCACAGCGATGTGAGAGACTGATACAGTCATACAGATACTTCAAGTTGTTGCTGCTAAAGGTGGTTCTACAAACTGTTGAATCATAAGGTGTACTTGCATTTTCACACATAACTTTTCCATTATTTTTGTAAAATGTCATGGTTTAACATAGCAGCCCCCAATCTTTCCGTGGAGAGTTTTTCCATAGACTGGGGTCAGGTGTGGTTTTGAAGGCTGCCTGCATCTGTGGGTGGGGCTTTGCTTGCTTGTGTGGCCTGGTTTCTGGCATGCCATGGATTGAGGCTGGGGACCCCTAGTGTAATATGTCATGTGTTGTTGTTCATCTGAGGTTGTATTTGCCTACTTTTAAGAACTGCTAAATACCAGATGTTTTTACTATGTCCTGATATGTATAACCATAGAATTCAAAGAGGGTGTACTTTTTTCATGTGACTGTGTGGGTGCATGTGCACACACACATACACAGTCTCTCTATATATATGTCAGCCAATCAATCCATCAATCAGGTGCACATTCTCTTGTTATTTGTAACGTAGCAAAATGCTGTATGGGGACACCTAGAATGCATCCTTGGATAATGAGGGATGCAAGCCAGATTGTAATTATCTTACAGATGGGATACATAGAGTAACCTTCTCTTGCTTTTATATTACTGCCTGTTTTATTGTGTCTTGTATTATTGTCTGGACATTTTAAGTTTCTGTCTTTTGGTAACAATAAAGCATTCCTTGACTATCACCAGGGAACTAAGTGGAAAATCAGTATGGTGAGTATTGAACAAGGATAAGGACTAAAGGGCTTTGTAACATCAGTTTGTCCCTCTTACTGTCTTTGAGTCCTCCTGTCTTCCCAAACTTACCTTTATGCCATCTTTCCCTTGTAGTAGTCTCCAGGGGGATTAGAAGTGCTTGTTTTATGGGTAGATCTGTCCACAGGGTTACAGTGATTTATATAAAATTATTTAGCTGCAAAAAAACACAAGCCATAACTTGAGGCCTACAGAGAAACCCCCTCTTCTGAAACAGCATAGATTACATAGGGATTTCAATATAGGATATAAAAATGAAATTTGTGGAATTAAAAAAATTGCACAGAGTAATTATTATATTAGAATTGGCAGATGAACAACTGGGGAAATCTTGTGGCAGTCAGTGAAAGAGCTTTGTGACAATATTGTTTGGTATCTTGCATTAATTCAAACCCCTAGTTAGCTGTGGAGTTCCTTGGAAAGTATGTTATCCGAGCCTAGTTTATCTGTTAAGATTTTTTATGAGAATATTTAAAAGATGCAAAGCAGAGAAATGCCATAAAAATGAGTGATCACGATGGGAAACCAGAATATGAAAATCTTTAACAGAATGTTAATTTCTTCAGTGGGAAATAAAGAGATTCCAGAGCTTAGCAAAGTAAATTCTGTTTTTTCCAGCAGTGATTTTTTGGATTGATTCTATCCAAAAGAGCAGGTCTGCATAGCTACTAAGCCAGACAATGCTAAACTTCACATCAATCTTGCATTATGACTGTCCATTGCTTGATAACCTGCCTATTTTGGTGGTCTCTGTAAATCTCAGATGCAGAAAGTTTATTAAACATTGGTGGCTTGGAGAACAGGAAAAAGATGTTCATTTTGGCTTGGTAGAAACACACTGTGCATACTGATTTAAGGTTTACACTATCAAATCTGAATGGAATTGGGTTCCTAATCCATTTTCTATGAAAACACCAAGGTTTGTTTACATAGGCATTTATTTAGATGTAATAGATTTATCATGTTTTTCACTGTCCAACTGCACAGTCAGAGCAAGTAAACGCAAGGTGGGAGTGTCCTGTGATAACTAATTTCCATTCAAATGTGTATTAGGTAGACTGCATTGCAAGATTAATCTGAAGACAAACATGATAATTTCCTTATTCAGATAAACACATAAGACCATTAAAATTTCTAACTGGAAATGAACTTTGCAAGGTTGAAATAAGAGATCATGAAGGAGAGTAAATATTTGCTAAGACGAATAGCTTTATTAGAAGGGATAGCAGAGATTTTGATTGACTGTGTGTGAGTGCTTCTGTCACAGAACATTCTGAAGTAGATGAAAGATAAATAGGTTGAGCAAGGACAATTCCTCATTCTCCATCCGTGAGTATGGAAGAAACAGGTCCAATAGACAGGCAACAGAGATGAGGATCGACAGTGGTTAACCTATTATCCAGGAAGACCCATTTCTTCCATGCAAATGGTTGCCATCCATTCGGAAGTTAGCAAAGATGTTCATCACACAGGAGGCTAACTGGGTTGACCACTGTAGTTAATGACTAATTGCACATCTCTCCTTGCCTTCTGGGAAGAGCCCTGGTTGAGGGGGCCGCCTGTCAAGCCCCTGTGGGCTTGCCACTAACAGGAGGGGGGAGGGGACAAGATCGTCAGATGGAGGTGTCCAGAGGCAGCAAATGCAACCAGCAGCAGAGATGGTAGCGACAGCCTTTCCCTCCCTCATACCTGTGTGCTGAAAGGGGGACTCTGTGGAATGCACCCACGAGGTCGTCCCGCTGAGCAGCTGAGCGATGTGGAGAAATGGCAGGGAGCTGAAATCCTGCCTCCTTCCTTGTCTTGCTGCCATACTGGCGCTCACGCCGGATGCTGGCTAGGTGGGTGGGGCTGGCTGGGAGGCATCTATTTAGAGTGCTGGGAGGCGGTTGCTCCCAGCGCTGACTTTGTTTGCTGTTTGTTTGAATACTGCATGCCAGAGCATACCATAAATAAACCAACCGACTGTGAACTCAACAGCTTGTTTCTTGTTGGAGCCAGGGGTGTAGCAAGGACCTCTGACACTAGATATATAGAGAGATGGTTGATAAAAGCATAGCATAGGCCTTGTATGTGGAATAAATACTGGTACCTGGATGCCTGATTCCAAGGACAAGGTAGATACTGGTCTATAATATGTGTATAGATAGTCCTTGCTTAGTGATTGCCTTAGATAGTGACTCTTCACAGGTATGATGGTGATAACAAAAGTACATTTATAACCAATCCTTACATTTATGACTTTCAGAGTGCTATAGCTCTTAGACTTATATATCACGCCATAGTGCTTTATAGCGCTCTCTGAGCTGTTTACAGTATCAGCATATTGCCCCCAATCTGGGTCCTCATTTTATGACCTCGGAAGGATGGAAGGCTGAGTCAGCCTTTGGACCCTTCAGGATTAAATTTCAGTCTGTGGGCAGAGTTTGCCTGCAATACTGCATTCTAACCACTGGACCACTAGAGAAAGCTGAAATAAGATCATAAACAGAGTTGTGGTTTTACTTAGTGGCTGCTTTGTTTGATGACTGAGTTGCTGGTCCCAATTTTGGTCACTAAAAAAAGATTGCCTGATTTCTGAGACAAATTGCCTTCAGTTCCATTTTGCAGCTGTTCATTCTGATGACCGTAGCATTAAAACATGGTTTGAGGAATTTGATTTCAGTCCCTCATTACCTCAGAAGTGTGAGGCATTAACTGTAATTCATAGAGGAAAAAAACCTGTTGAATCTGAATGCCATTTCTGTAGCTAAGAAATTGAAATGTGTCTATGAATTTGTTGGTCTTTTTGTATTATCATAATAAATAATAATGTCTCTTTTCCATCCAAACAGATTTTAATATTGGCTGGGCCTAGCCAAGCACAACAGGATCCTGATGGGTGACTCAGGATCGAGGCGCTCAATCATTGTCTCCCGTTTGCCAATATTTCGGAGAAGTATTAACCGAAGACATGATTCCCTCCCGTCATCACCAACTTCCAACAGTACTGTTGGCGTTCACAGTTCTTCTCCCTCCAGCACCAACTCTAGCTCAGGTAGCACTGGCAAACGCAAGAGCCTCTTCCGGACACCGTCCATTAGCTTCCATCACAGAAAGGGGAGCGATCAGAAAACAGATTCTTCATGCCAGAATGTGGGCATTTTGAACGGTGCACAGTCAGGTCACAACACTTTGCAAAAGCTTGGTTTGGAAGAACAGGTGAAAAACAGAGGCAGACATTCTGTTGGTTTTGGAAGTTCTCGAAATAAAAAGATAACGAGGTCCTTGACGGAGGACTTTGAAAAAGGGAGGGAACCCTCAACTAATAAGAACGTTTTCATAAATTGCATAAGTTCTGGGAAGAATGAAAGCGATGACTCTGGCTTTACAGAGGCCCAAAGCAAGTCTTCTGTTAAACATTCCTCAAGGAAACTTCTCCCCAAGTCATTTTCAACACACTACAGATTCTCAAAGCCAGTCCCTCAGAGTCAGTCGGTTTCCTGTGTTCAACCATCTTCTTGTTTGCTGGAAATTAAATCCAATGTTGAAACCGATCCCGTGTCTGCAAAGTCTTCTCCTTCAGAATGTATAGGCAGCTCTTTGCTTTCTGCTGATCTGACAACTGTACAGACACCATCTGAGTTTCTAGCCCTGACTGAGGATTCTGTTTCTGAGGTTGATGGGCTGCCCAACTGTGGAAACTTGCACCCAGAAGCCTTGGCCCACAATGTGTCTACCTCTCAAACCTTTGCTGCTTCTCCTTTTTCAAGGAAAACAAACCTTACAGAAAGTATTTCCCCTTGTGCTGAAACTTACAGGGCTAGAAATGTATTGCTTAGTGAATCTAGTGCTTTTTCAGAAATCCTTGATTCAAATCGAAAGCATACAAAAGTGTTATTGCCAGAGCTCTTTGCGAAGCAGACCAGCCATCCAGAAGATGTAAACTCAGGAGCTAAAGCACAATTAAAAACCTTTGTCTTAAACCAGGGAGAAATAGTTGAAAGTTCTCCAAAAGCACAGGGATTACAGAGGGACCAACAAAAAGCAAGAATATCGGAACATGCTAGAGAAATCTTTCCAGAAACTGAATCAAAGATCACTCCTTTGTCTTCTGAACCTCAGTCCTTTCAAACACAGCAGACAAATGACATAAACCACGTAAAGGGTATGTATGTTCAACCATTGCTGTCTTCTGAAAAATGTTCATTTATAAAAGTGTGCTTTCTTCCAATTACTGTATGTACAGATAATATTTAGATAGCGCCATTTATGCTTGGCATGTCATGAAGATGATGCTTTTTGGGCTCTCTAAGTCAGGGGTCCTCAACCTTGGCAACTTTGCTGGCTGAGAAATTCTGGGAGTTGAAGTCCACAAGTCTTAAAGTTGCCAACGTTGACCGATCCCTGCTCTAAGTTACTAATGAGAGTTTTTATAAATCAGTGTTACTTTCCAAATTATTTGGGTTTACAAAAATATTAGGTTTTTTTTATTGAAAAATTTTATAAACTTTTTACAATAAAATACCCCCCCTCCCACCCCATAACCCTCCCACCTCCTTCCCAGAGCTGAATACAGGGTTAAAGAAACAGAAAAAAAAACATACAAATTAAATGATCATCAATCCACTATACATACATCCAAAAAGATTTAAAGTACTTTAACTCCAATACATAGAAACTACAAATCAACCATACCCAGTTTAAACTGTAAATTATTCAAAAGCTAAATAATACTTCCTAATCCCATATTTATTCTGTACAAAATTTACCCATCTTTTCCACCCCGAAATATATCTCTCTTGTGAATGATCTTTCAGATAAGCCGAAATTTTTGCTATTTCTGATAAATGAGAAACTTTGAGAAACCATTCTTCTATAGTAGGCAAGGAATCCTTCTTCCAATATTGCCCAATCAGCAACCTTGCCGCTGTAATAATATTTAACATTAAGGTAATCTCTTTACCATCACAGTCTACAATAATACCTAACAAAAATAATTGTGGTATAAATTTTATCCTTCTATTAAAAATCTTCTGAATGTTCCACCAAATCTTAATCCAAAAATATTAGGTTTTTTTTAAAGGTACAGGTACTCCTCGATTTACAACAGCACTGAAAAAAGTGACTTATGACCATTTTTCACACTTACAACTGTTGCAGCAGCTCCATGGTCACATGATCAAAATCCAGCTGCTTGGCAACTGATTCGAATTTATGACCGTTGCCATGTCCCGTCTGATCTTCTTTTGCAACCTTCTGACAAGCAAAGTCAGTGGGGGAAGCCAGATTCACTAACTTAACAACAGCAGTGATTCACTTAACAACTGTGGCAGGAAGTGTCGTAAAATAGGGCAAAACTCACAAAACCACTGTCTCGCTTAGCAACAGAAATTTTGGTTTTAAGTCGAGGACAACCTGTACATAGTGATGAATGCTACTATTTCCTAAAATAAGCATTCAGAAAGATTTGTTGGAAATCCTTCCTATTTAATTTGTTGGTTTAAGGGATCACATTTAAAACCAGACAGAAATTCTTAGAGATATATTGGAGGAAAATGGTAATCAAAAATAAAACTGACTTCATTCTTCCACTTTAACTGTGATTTGTAACACAGTGGGTTTCTACTTCAATATATTCCACGGATTTCTAGTTCCATCCTTTTGCTTATCTCTAACCTATTCTTGAAATTCCATTATCCATTTTGCTTATCCTTTGAAAGTTATGGGTATCTTATACTACAGTGCAATTATTGGCATAATATTACGCAACTTCTTCATTATAATGCCCCCTTGTGCCATTCCCCCCCCCCACTATGATAATATTCCTGCTTTAGTGATCCTATTTATAAAGTACACTCACATTCACAATGTCTTGCTCATCACCTCTTTCCATACTCTTTAACCTTCATTAATTTTGCATTTGTTACACATATATTTTATGCTTATTGCATCTTCATCAAAATATATTTTTCTATCCAGACTCTAATCAATTCCAGACATGGTTAGACTTATTTGGCTTACTGAATTGCAGATATTGGAACATAGTTCATATAAATGAAGGCCTGTGAATAGGTATGCCAGTGATCTCTTGTGCTATGCTAATAATTTATTATTGAGGAATCCTAACTGGGAAGTTAATGACTACATTTTAAGCATATAAAACTTACAATTCCTATATCAGAGCAGCTGAAAAATAGAGCATTTGTATTGGAATTTCTTCTTCCAAAGCTGAAAAAATGTTTACTTACACTAAATTGTTATAGACAGCTGTGTTACTACCAACAATGACATAATCTATTTTCAAAGTTTTTAGATCATACTGACTGTACAGAATACATTTGATACCTAGATATGATTGTATCTTGTTTTTGCATATGATAAAGTAGATTCAGTAGAACTAATAAAACCTTAGGATTGTAATATGATAAAAGTGATGCTGGGTGTCTCAGTACAAAATTCATTTTCATGGAAAAGAATGTGAGTTTATACCATCATTCGAGGCTTTTATTTCTATGTGTATCACCCTAAACCCTGTGATGAAATCAAGGGGATTAACAAGTGCACTCGCACAGATTAGGAATGCAAGTGCTTTGAAAATTATATGGAATAAGTGTTTTAGACTTCATACGAATATTACCCTTCTGTGCTTTAAGGATCCCAAACGCTTCTTACAATCATCTTCACTAGATGTGTTGGGACTGTAATTACAAAATATCTAGGAAAGATACTAGGTCCCGTTCAGAGAAAATAAAGAACTGTAGTTCCAATATTCCAGTAGTATTAAAAGCAGTAGATTGAGGAAGACTGCATTGTTGCTTCTTGCCATCTTCTCAAGAAGTTACAGCTGGCGTTACCCATTGTATTAGGCCATAAATTTATTTTAACCATCTTGTTTTTCAAGAAGTCACAATGGCTGGGTTCAGAAATATTACTAAAGCTAGTTCATGGCACCTTTCAGCATATGCTGCTGGCTCTTTCCAGTGTAATTGATTGATTATGTGTCATCTGGTTGTTTTCAGCTTCTTTTTGATCACATAAACAGATTTTCTCCATGACAATGTATCCCCCTACTTCTTCTTTCAAGTCTCCCATTGTGCGCTCATTGCCACTGTAACCAGGTCCATCCAACTTCCTGCTGATCACCCTCTTCACCTTCTCCTCCACCTTTCCCAGCATTAGAGCCTTTTCCACAGAGGTGGATCTTCATGTAATGTGTCTGACAGAATCATTTGAGCCTGGTATTTTGTGCCTTGAGTGAAAACTCTGAGTAGATTTATTCAATGATCCATTGGTTTGTTTGGTTGTCCAGTGTATGGGCCATGATTTTCCTCTAGCTATGTAAGAAACCCAGATCCAGATTTAACTGGCTGCAGCTCGTTAATTTCTGAGTAGTGCACTTTTGACTAAAAGAAACATTTCTGAGTGATGCTTGCAGCATTGATGATGATTGTAAATAAGCCTGTGTATCTTACTTCACAGTGAATCTTCCCAGTAGTTTTAGTCCATTTCGAGAAGGAAGATTCATCGAAAAGCGTTTAAGATCCTCCTCTGAAGGCACCGCTGGGAACAGTCGGATGATCTTAAAGCCAAAGGATGGAAACCCAGAAGAGATGAATTGTTTAAGAAAACAGAGAACAAGTTCCTCGTCATCTAAAATGAATAGCTTGGTAAGTTTGCGAAGCCTCGAGTGGGTTGTTGCTTCTTTCCCTCTTGTTTTTGATGAATAAACCAAACCTGGTAGCATAAATGGAAATTTTGGTAATGCTAGTTATCAGATTTTCTGAGCCTGAACCAGCATGATGTGTTCTTTAGGTAGAAAACAGTTGCATGACTATGGGCAATTACAATTACAGTTACAATTTTCTGGATCTATGCTATAGAAAAACTGAAAACACGTATAGAGAATGTCCCTATTTAGTCTGGAGTACCTATAGTTTAAAACAGGGGTAGGCAACCTTGGTCATAAAAGAGCCAAGGTTGCCTACCCCCTGGTTTAGAAGATAACTGACTTAGACATTGGATAGTTGATGGAATTGATTATCTGGATGATGGAGATATTTGAAATTCACAGTGTCATAACAATGCTCTCTTGGGATGTCTCTGACTCCAGTGGGAGTATAGTTTTATCTAACAAATCATGCTTTAACTTGGGAGGGTTGAGAATAAAAATATCCAGATGATGCTTGAGGCATTGGTGAATGTAAAAGGGTTTTATCACACTCACAACTTTCTTTTTATGTACTCCTTTTAGAGAAAAAGTAGAGGCTAGTTATCTTATTAAATAGAAGGAGAGTCCAGTAGAAAAATTCCCCTTTTACATATCTCTTTCTTACAACAGAATTTAAAGGACTCGGCAATTCTGATAGAATTTCAAAACTACATTACATTTATGAATACTACATAATCCGATTTCCCTAGTTGGAGCTCCATCTATTGTATTATTTATTTCTCTGTTTACACTGTGAGATTTTTCTCTTTGTGGAGGAAATTTCATAAAACTACAGATCTTTATATTCTTTCCTTCCCAAAGATACCTTTGAGGCCTGCCTTGAATTTCACATTATAACAAAGGCTTTTCTTCAGCAAGAGGGCACAGAATTTTTATTTTGAACGATTTATTTAATCAAGAGGGAAAATTGGGGTGCAACATGGAATTGAAAATGTAACCAAGCCAAAAGAAAGCAAAAAAACCCCCAACAACTACACATTAGTGGAATCTTCATGGTGTTCACTTATTTTCCTGAAGAGGGCAGTATTGTTTTTAAAAACACAATTTTTTTGTAGTAGCAAATGTAATAAACTAAGAAGTAGCCAGTTAAAGCTATTTTTCAGGGTGGTGTTTTGTGTAAAGGAAGCTTTGCAGTCAGTAACATGCCTTTCAGATATCAACGAAAAGGAGCCCTTTGGGAACCTTTGGATGAGGATGGTTAGGTCCTGGTTCCTTCATCTTATGCTGATGACTTCAGTGACCAAGGAATGACTGTGTCTTGAAATACTTACGTTCTTAGCGAATATTAAGCTGAAGAACAAAGAGAGCCAAGGAGAAAGAGCTAGAAATAAAACAATATGTAATTAATATGACATAGTTGGCATAAAAGAAACCTGATGAGATGAAACCCATGAATGGAATGGACTGATGGATAGATACAAATTGTTCAAAAGAAACAGGTCTACAAAAACAGGAGGAGGAGTTGCACTATATGTAAGAGAACACTACATATCTACAGAAATGCACATGATCAAAGATAAAATGAAAGATAAAATGAACTGTTTCCTACTAATAAACCCAACTTTCTGCCATATATGATGCAGCTCTCTGTGCCTCTAGTCCAGTGATGGCGAACCTTTTAGAGACCGAGTGCCCAAAAACTGGCCCCGCCCCCACTCCACCCCCTGCCCCGCCCCCACCCCACTTGCCTGCAGGGCACCGCCTCAAGGGCCCGCCGCAGATCGCCCAGGCAGCCCAGCAGTGCCATGGCGGCCACGCCCTCTGCCCATGCCCCACAGCATTAACTGTCCACGATGGGGTGTGAGGGCAGAGTCTTGTCTACGCTGCCTTGCTGCCATATCCTTGGCTGCGCTGCTCCGCGTGGGCCAAGCTCAGGGGTGACTCCTCCAGGGGGGCTGCTGGTGAGGAGGGGGTTGCAGGAGGAGGCAAGTCTGGGGCAATGGCACATGTGCCCACAAAGAGGGCTCCGGGTGCCACCTCTGGCACCCGTGCCATAGGTTCGCCACCACTGCTCTAGTCCTTTCCTACAGGAACTCCTAATTTCATTTTTGCTGTGACTAAATTAATTATTATGATTTTTAGGAAACACCATTAATATTATCCAATGCCACCATGCCTTTTATCACTTCTTCCAGATATTTATTGAAACTTTTTGTTTCTTGCCTGCTTCTGTTCAGTGATTATATTTGGCATTTACAGCTGTGTTTTTTTTCTCTGCCTGAACTGACAAGCCTCAGTTTGAGTGATTTCAAAATAAAATTAGAGCAGGCTTCTAAATAGGTCTTGAACCTTTTAAAAACTTATGTTAGGACTGCTGTGCCTGGAATGATGATCCTTTTTTCTTTTAAAAAAATCAGTTAGTTTTAATTGTCATCCTTGCAATAGCTTCTTTATTCCATAAGATGTCAGTGTTGTTCTGTTTTATCAGACCCAGAAATATTCTTATAGTTCAGAAAGCTTGTTCACAAGGAAGCAAAAAAATATTCAGTTTGAGATATTCTAAATTCATTGATGTGAGCCATTTTCCAATCATTTCGGTTGATGGAATCTTTCTAATCATTTCTGTTTTGGAAAGGGTGGAGGTCAAGGATAAATTTTTGGGGAAAAAAAACCTTGTTCTGGACCTGTGGTTGGGGTTTCATATTCTGACATTGCTCGTGGGATTCTTCAAAAATAAAATTAAATTTGGGTGTAGTATCAGTATTATAAGCAACCTACTTTTTTCATAGCTTGGAGTCCCCTTTGTCAAAAAGATGGAGGAGAAATCTGTTCAGGTGGCATTATGATGCAAATTTACCTAATTTTTCCCATTCATACTTAAGGACCATCTTTCCAGATTTTTTTTTTTTTTGTCTGTGAATGTTGGATTTCATTTTGTGGGAAGTCAGCCCCCCAGAGAAGGAAATATTAAAAGGGCAGAAAAATATATTTCCTTAAAGGATCTTAAAGAGGCGGAACAGCATGCCCAGTTTTTCTGTCTCCCTCCCCAAAGCAGAAACCAGCTCTACAGGAATGCAGATGTAAACTATCAGGAAGATTGAAGCTAGAAACTTAGGAAGACAAAGACTCCTAAAATCTACATACCCCACCCAAACTCTAAGACAGGACATAATAGGATTAACACACAAAAGGCTCCAGAGGATATAAAAACCCACTCCCTACATGTGCTCACTCTCTTTTCTGCCAGAACCATCTTCCTGTCTGGCTCTCCTTTTCAATAAACTGCAACCTTCTTCCTAAAGCAGTCGCCATGTTAATTCCCAGCTTGGACTGAACTACGATGAAGACTTTTCTTTCAACAATTTTAAGATTTACAATGATGGAAATCCAAAAATCAATCGTGCAGATTGACGAAAATAATATATAAATATGCAATATCATAATGGATTTCCTTGCCATTTACTTATTAAATTTATATGGCCGCCGACTCAACAACAAGGACACTTATCAAGTACATGGGTGGCCTAAACTAACAGCACTGAGCATCATGTCCGTTTCTTGAGACCAACTGTTCAAGGTACCACCAGATTACCAAACAAGACCTTTCTTCAGTTAACACCACAATTCTTGCATAGTTGGGAGTCAGACTGCCAGATGGCAATCGGCAATGTGGTGAAAAAAAATAATTAAATGATCCTTAATATAGGTTATTACCGGTATTTGATCAGATTTGTTTTTCAGTGTCCTGTAGAGTGTTAGGAGTTTCTTCTGCTGTTTCATCTGCAGGAGTTCCTCTGAAAAGCAGGGAATTCTCTTATGTTCCTGGACAGAGAGAAATCACATTAGGTACAGTCTAATCCAAGGCTATGGGCAACCTTTTTTTCTCTTCCAAGTGATGACTGTGATCTCAATCAATCATGTATCAAGCCGTAGATACAATCCCCTTCTGGAACTCAACAGGATCCATTAGGTACCTGGAGCACACTGATTGAATATGGTTGCATATAATTGGAAAAATGTGCAAACAAGCTGTTATGTAGTATTTTTAAACTTTAAAAAAAAATCACTTTGAAGGTGGCAGAAATAGATGGAATGTGAAGTCCTAGGTGCTCTCTGAGTTTGGTTGTTTGCTTGAAGATGCTTCATTATTTAGTAGAATAAGAATCTTGAAGGGGCTACATTTCAGCAATAGTTATACATTTGGTCTTTGGCACTGTCAGACAGGAGCAGAGCATACATTTGAGTGAAACCTCGAAGCAGACATTTGTGACCTTCCAAACATCGCTGAACCACAATTCTTGGTAGGTTTCTCAAGCTAGTTGCATGTCCTTGGGGTTCTAGTTTAATATCATCTGAAGGGGCAAAGATTCTTTCGTTTGCCTTAGAGCAGGGATGAGGAACCATGCCCCTTTTATGACTTGGGGACTTCAACTCCCAGAATTCTTGGGCTAGCCATGCTGGCTCAGGAATTCTGGGAGTTGAAGTTCACAAATCATAAGGTGGCCATAGTTCTCTACCTCTGTCTTAAAAGAGTCACAATTAGTAGTTCAGTGGAACATAGCTCAAGAATAACAAGCCAAATGAAGTTTTTGTGGCTTGCAGTGAGCTGAAATTTATTGTATTCATCCAGAAAAAAAAATCTCTCTGGCCGACTGTACTACATCCTATAATGTATGCATCGTTCACAATAAAACTGACTGAGTTTTTGTGGAAAAGCAATTTAATGTGACTATGATCTACACAATCAGCAATGCACATTCTGCGCTTTCGTTATTTTCTTCTAAAGTGGTTTGAAATTGGAAAAGGATAGAGAAGGCAGTCTGATTATTGTACCAGTGACAGACCTGGAAAAACTTTTCAAATGGAGGGAGGCAGCAAAAACAAGGCAATATGAAGCAAAATGTCTTCTGCACATCCAAATAATTATAAACATAGATCCTGAAAGCAGGATTCAAACTCAGCTGAAGGAAGGGGCCTAGAATATAGTCAGAGAATGTT